GACTTCTCTTAGGTCTTTGCCGGATGCTACGACCAGCGTGTCGTCGGCGTAGCAAATGACTTGCACACCACTACACAGCGCTGCCCTTAGCACCCAGTTATAGCCTATGTTCCACAAGAGTGGTCCTAGGACAGACCCTTGTGGAACTCCGCACGAGACCCCGTGCTCCTGCCAGCTCGTCTGGCCAGGGAAGGCGATCTTTCTTCCCCTGAAATAGTCGATGATGATTCGTTGCAAATACTTGGGGACACGATGGTATTCGAGTCCCTCAAGTATAGAATCCCAGGGGAGGGTGTTAAATGCATTGGCGATGTCTAATGACACCGCCAATACAATTCCCCCCTGTGAAGTTGTCTCGTCCGTGATAAGGCGCAGACGGGCTAAGGCGTCGATAGTGGATCTCGAGCGCCGAAACCCGAACTGCGCGTCGTCTAATTCCGGTCCGTCCGCGGCAAGGTGCCTGTTGATGCGGTCGGCGATAATCCTTTCAAGGAATTTGCCAACCTCGTCAAGGAGCACAATGGGTCTGTACGCAGACGGAGAGTCCGCCTGTCTGCCCGACTTCTTCAAGAGCACGAGCCTGCCTGTCTTCCAGCGGGAGGGAAAACGTCCCTCAGTCAGGCATCGGGTTAATAGTTCCGAAAACCTCTTGCCAATTCCGTTCTTCAGAGCAAGAGCCAGCACTCTTCCGTGAATCCCGTCGGGACCCGGGGCTGTTCTTTTGCCCTGCAGTTTGTTTACAGCGAGCAACATTTCACCCTCAGTCACCGCTGGGACATCATTGGGTGTTGTCGCAGTAACGGCGTCTGTCCATGCACTGCTCGAGGGGGGAGGGGCGGATGGAAACAGGACAGAGACCACTCGAGATAGGAACTCCGGCTCTAAGGTGGAAGTGAGCGGAGGGGACCAGGGGCGCAGCCTGCTCATTATGAGCTTATATGGCCGTCCCCAAGGGTCCTGTTCCAGGGTCTCGAGGAACTCTGTCCATGCCCTCTCCTTTGCAGCGGCGATCTCCCTTTTTAGGGTCCTTCTCGCCTCTCTGTAGACCTCGTACAGCCGATCCTCTTCTCCGGGATCGTCCAGTGCTCGCCTTCGTCTGTGACGGGTGTACTGGCGACGCGCGGTCACGCATGCTCTGCGCAGTAGCGTAAGTTCACTCGACCACCAGTACACCTGTTTTCGAGGCGGTCTAGCGCGGATTCGAGTCATGGAACAGTCGGAGACATGTTCCAAGGCTTCAGCCAGCCAGTTCGCTTCGCTCTCCGATGATGGCTCGTCGGGTTTGGGACACCAAGCCGTGATGAGCGATGCCAACTCCAGGTCGTCCTTTTTTAGAGACTTTAAGGACCACCTGGGCCCAAACTCCGGCGGGCCGCGTCTTAGGCTGTTCGGAGCATCTGCTGATGGGAGGACGTTCCACCGTATATACCGGTGGTCTGAAAGGGTCTCCACATCGGTCAGTACCTCCCAGCCTTGGATTCGGCTGACAATGGAGGAGCTCGCGAAGGTAACGTCTACCACGGAACCCCCGCCCATGCGCACGCAAGTTAATTCTGTGCCCCTGTTCATGGGCACCAGATCATGTGAGGCCAGGAATTCAAGAAGCGCCTCTCCTCTTCCGTCCGTAGTGGCCGAGCCCCAGGCTGCAGCTTTGGCGTTGAGATCACCCGCCAAGATGACGTGGGGACAGTTGAATCCGGTTATGATGGAGGCCACTCCCCCCAAGTAGGCCTCAAACTCCGCCAGGGTTATGTTAGGGGAGCAGTAGGCTCCCACTATCAGCGTGTTGCGAAGTTTGACCCCAACGCAGCCGTTGCCCGCCCTAGATAGTCTGACTGGAGGTGTGTCGCTGATGTTGTTGTTCAGGACGATTGCCACTGATCCGTCTAAGTCCCCAATCCAGTCGGATCTATCCAGGACGTAATATGGTTCTGTGATAAGTCCGAGATGACATGACCACTGCGCTAAGCTTTGGACGAACAGGTCCTGAGCTCTGGCGCAGTGGTTTAAGTTCGCCTGTAGAACTTTGTGTTTCATCCTATTGATGTCCCACGATCGTAACTTCCATTTGGTCCCCGCTCGGTTGGGACGCCGCCGATGTCATGGCGATAGCTCTTCTTGGTATACGTTTCTTGGGGGCCGAGCATTTTGGACCTCCCAAGCGATGGTTGGCATTCTTGCTGTGGGATGCGCAGACCACACAGTGTGCCTTCTCCTTGCATTCCCCAGCGATGTGATCGGGTTTGCCACACCTGTAACACAGACGGCTGCGGTCTTCCTCCTTGCAGTGCCGTGCCACATGGCCCGCCTGTAGGCACCTGTAACATCGGAGTTCTCTGGGTGCCCCGATGGCGAATTTGGGCACCGTCCACCCCAGCAGGATCTTCTCGTTTGCCAGTCTCTTCGCAACGGTGACGGGCACTTGTACCCATGTTGCGAAGAGGCCTGACCTATCCTGGCGAATTTTGCCCACTTTCACTTGCGCCGCGGCACACTCCATCTTGGAGACGATGGCATTGGCGAGGTCTTCAGCGGTGACACAGTCCGCCAGGTCCGTGACTCTCATATCAATGAGTTTGACGGGCCTGGAGATGCGGATACAGTCACCGCCGACGGCCTCCCTCAGCTTATCAGCAAGTAAGTCCGCCTTCGGGTCGTTACCAGCTCCCGGTATTTGGAGTATCGTGGCTCCGGTAACGGCCCTGCGGAACTTGACCGATTCGATACCGATCGTCTCCTTTAGGTCTACTTTTGCCTGCGCCTCTTTGAGGATGGAGGCGTAGGTGACTCCTTTTGCAGCGGCGTCATCAGAGAGGGTGATGACCACCGCTGCGGACCTGGGCGTTTTGAGTTTGGTTTTAGGCGGAGGTCGCCGACTGGCCTCCCTCGCCTGCCCCTTTGGTCGAGACTGCTTGCGCCCTGTATTGGGCTGCTGTCGAGTTTGTGTTCTTCTTGTCTCCTGTGCCTTCTTTCCCTTTTTCTTCTTTTTGGTTACCTCTGTCCATGTCTCCTCCCTGGAAGGAGGCGGCAGGGGCAGAGGTCTTGTTGTCGTATCCTTGACTTTGGCCTTTTTGGCCTTGGTGCCGTTGTCCGCCGCACCAGGCCGCCTGGCCTCTGACGAAGTCGTGGCCGGTGCAGGTGTTCTAGTCGGTGGTGCCTGCGTCTTGTCCGATGCCAGGGGAGGTCTGAGGCGCCTTTCAGGCATCAGGCGCCCCTCTATCCCCTGGAGCTTCGCGTCCATCATTGCGCCGATTTCCCTCATCAGGGACACGCGAAATTCTCCTTCTTCTCTGTCCGTCCTCGTTGCCCTTGGGGATGAGAGGTTGTCCAGGTCCGCCCGTAGGCGGGCCTGACCGTCCCTCAGCATCCCCAGCTCTTGTTGGAGAAGCGCGTTCTTGCGCTTCTCCTCCTCGAGCCGGGCTTGGAGGATTTCCGCTTCCTTCCCGCTGGTCCTCTGCAGGAGGACGTCCTTGGCCTCTCCCAACAACGCCGCCGACGTCTTCAGCGCCCGGACCCATCCTCCCTTCAGATTCCTAGAGTTCGTAGCCACTTCCACGATCACCCCCAGGGCCCTTTCCATCTCCTTCGCTAGAGATGAGGCCGGCAGCGTCTTTACCGACGATATTGCGGCTTCGACTCGCCGCGCCGCCATCGCCGCCGTTTCCTCATCCCTGGCACGATCGCTATCTCCGTCCTCGCCTCTCCCTCTTTTTACAAGGGAGGATTTGGCACTACCACCAGAGGAGCTCCCCTCCGATTCTCTCCTCAGCGGTCTCTTTCGGAACGGCTTGAAACTCGCCGTCGTCCCTCCAGTGAAGAACGCCGAGCGAGTCTCCTCCGCCTCCATTTCCGAGCCACTCGTGGTGTGCACTCTCCTATTTTTCGTGGTCTGCTCCTCCTCATCCGAGCTGACCACCGTCGTCGTTTTGTCCATATCACCAGCAAGTCGTTGTCCGTTGTCCATTCCATGTCCCGTGCCCACTGCACCTACTCTGCGAGGGTCTCTTGAAGAGAGACCCTCTCGGCATTGGTTGCCCCCCCCAGAATACGTGGGGCTGACTGCCGTAGCAGTGAGGGATTCCCCGGTTCGCTCTTCGGGACCCTCCTGGGGTAGTCTATTACCATTTTTACCAGATGCCATTGTAACAAGTGACCCTGAAAAGGCAGGGCCGACCTGGTGCTTTCGGGACGAGCTACCCGCTCGCCACTCATCCCCTGACCAAGCACCCGAAATCGGGATTGGGGGCCGTATAAGCCCATCCGTCCACAAATATTCATCCACATTCATGCAACCTTCCATTCATCGGGCTGATCCCCCAGCCCTGACCAAGACCCCAAAAGAGGGCCAAGGTCCCCCCACCCCACGGCTGATTGCGCCGGTAAATATCAAAAAGGCTACTTACCGAGCACCAACCGCCACACATGCTTCCTTCTCAAGGCTACCACATCCCCGGAGTCCCCTGCTGCAGAGGAGCTGAGGAGTGGTAGTGCCGCCGAGAGTGTCCTGCGTCCCCGTAGGTCCTGTAATCAGAAAATAGAGGAGCAGGAAGCCAGCGCATCTTAGAGATGCACCCGCGCCTCCATACTTTGCACGAGCGCGGACCCTATCTCACCGACAGGTGTGCCAGGAGAGTCCTGGGTCCCGCTCACACTTATACACGCACACCATGACCAGCCAGCCGAGAGTCTATTGACCACAAGGCAGGCCTCCTTTCGCGAGTCCCGCGGTTAAACCCCCTTTCACACATACTCACACAAAACACACACACATTCATGCTCCCCAAGGGAGTCCCATTTAAGCCAACCGCGAGACTTTCCTCCCCCCCTTGGGCTGCCGGAATTCTCACTCCCGAGCGAAACGCCGCGCGAACGCAGCTTCACGCCCGGTGTAGAGCGAGAGGGTGGTCCTACCCCGGTCGAGCTAGCCCGATGCTTGTCGCAGCCCGAAGGCCACAGCAAGGCTCTACCACTCCTTGTTCCCGCGTCCCCGGAGTCCCCTGATGCAGAGGAGCTGGAGAGCGGGATTGTGCCGAATGCGGATCAAGTCCACTCGGCAGAGTGGAGGATCCCGCCCCGCAGTCCCCTTTTCAGCGGACAGGGGGCAAGATGACCGGTGCACCGAAAACGGCACGCCGGCCCCTCCACACAAAACTCGAGAAGAGACCCTAGCCCCACTTCGGAGATCCAGGCCTCTCTCACTTCCTCCTCCGTCACGCCGGCCAGCCAAGAGTCTAATGACCACAAGGCCGGCCCACTCCCGCCAGCCAGGCCTTACGGCCACACGACCAGCGCCTCCCTAAGTCTCGCGGTCCGGACGCACAGTTTCCGTAAACGGATCCCACGCACCAGACCGCAAAACTGTCCCCCCCCCCCTGCGGATATCAGCCGCCGGAGAACGACGCCTGCCAGGTGTACCGACATCGTTCTCCGTCGTTGCCCAGGTTGCACCAGGCCCATCTGCTACCCTTCCCCCCGGACCGTGATCCGTAAGGGACTGGTAACAGTCAGGCGCTCGGGGAGGTTTCCGCTTCGCAACCCCCTAACCTAACCTAACCTAACCCAACCTAACCTAACCTAACCTAACCTAACCAGTTGCATTTCACGCTCCGTCGCGAACAGACACGTTCCAACGCGCTCCGTACTAAAAAAAAAAAAAAAAAAAAAAAAAAAAAAAAAAAAAAAAAAAAAAAAAAAAAAAAAAATCGCAAAGTGAGGTTTTAATAGTGCGATAACAGTGTATCATACATCAAAGTGTTCGTCTCGGCGCCCCGAAGCTATTGGTACCACTCGCGTGGAAATCGGGTGAAAACTCAAAGAGATAATTGAGAAAAACCTGAATTTTACAGGTTAACAAACTTTTAAGTGCGTGCGGCGCGAGAACTAGAGCGGCGACCCCCCATTTTTTTAGTGTAATTGTGTTTGTGTTACCGAGGACTACATTCGTGCAAAATTTGAGATTTTTCCGGCCACGGGTTCAGGAGTTACAACAGTGGTAAACAAAAACCACGTGGCACGTGGTCGGAGATCCAGGCGTGTCCGGGTGGCGGGACTAGTGCCATTCGAGAGGGTGTCTTCTCCCGAGTTCGCCGACACTTTGCACATCTTCCTACGACCTCCCAGTGAGGATCTAGAACGGAAACAAGTTGTCGGGCGGAAGGTCGAGAGGCACCCCCAACTTTGGACCCCCACAACTCCAAAACCAAAGCGGTGACTACATAATTTTAATACATAGTGTGATAGGGCATCTCTCCCTCTATATTTTGACACTAATCTTGGCATCGCGCGGGGAGTGCAACTATTTTTTAGGAATTTTTTAAAATTAAGTGTACCAAAGGTCAACCGCATAAATTACTTGTAACCCAAATTTGACAGGTTCCAGGTGTCGGAGCCTGACCAGACCACTTTTGGAATCATTTTTTAGGCCCTTTTTACATTTTGGCATCAAAATTTTTGAAAAATAGTAAAGGATTAAGACACCCATTTTCGGTTTGAAATTACGTCGATAAACTTCACCCCCGAAAATAAAATAGTTCCCGTGGTCCGATCTCCTTGTAACTTCGTTTGTGGATAGATCCCACGGGTCTCGAAGGGGTGGAGTACCCAAAATTCAAAATTTTCAAAAACTTTGGGAAAAACCGGGAGTAGAAAATCCGGAAAAAAGCGCGGGAAAAGTTTTCCCGAATTTCCCGAAACTTGGTGAGGGGATAGGGGCTGTTCTCCTGAGCACCCCGATACCTCTCCCGTCTTTCCAGGACGTAGGGTTCGGGAGATATCGCAATTAAACGCTTAGTTTCCGGATTAAAACTCCCGGTTTAAAGCGGTTGACCTTTTAGTCTTAAGTTTTTTAGTGTTTTAAGCAAAGTGACAGTCCCCCCTATTGGGGACAGTAGCTTTTTATTTATTTATTGAAATTTTAATTATTATTGGCCCGGATTTTCAATTATTAATATTATTATTGTTGGATTTGGCGGATTTGACCTTTTTAAGAAATTATTAATAATTATTATTTTATTTTAACTCATTTTATTATTTAATTGTATTATACAATTTTAACAGAATTTTAACATTTTAACATATTTATTACATTTTAATTAGTTTTAAATTTTAGATTTGGCCAAATTTTGTTTAATTATTATTGAAAAATTTTTGGGTCATTTTAATTAAAGTTTTAAATATATATATACTGTGATAGTCCTTATTGGGACATTAAATTGTTTTATTTTAGTTATAATATTTTAGAACAATTTAAGTTTTGTGTATGTCTGACCGTCCCCTACTGGGACGCCAGAAATCTTTTAACCAATAATTTAGCTGACTGATTTGTTTTAACGAAAGGAATTAAATTCCTTTAATAATATACACATTAGTGACTGGATTTGAAACTCAAATCCAATTATTAAATTAATATTTTAACTGTTTTAACTGTAATCTGTGATAGTCCCCTATTGGACGTTAAACCTAGTAGTAAGTAATTGTTGTGTTGTTGACCGTCCCCCCTATTGGGGACGTTAAATTTTAACAATATTAATTTGTGTGTTTTGTTGACCGTCCCCCCTATTGGGGACGTAAAGATTTTATTATAGTATAAGTTGATTGAGCTGGACAGTCACCCCTATTGGTGACACCATTTTAAAACTCAAGTACATTGAAAAGCCAAACATTAAAATGCCTCTACCGTTAGGAAAAAACGTGAAACAGGTCACAATCGCACACACCGAGGATAGGCCGCGACCCACCCCGTCCAATGCACAGCCCAGTGCCAGCCCGGCGGATACGGCTACCGCCAAAGCAAATAAATGGTTCCAGGAAGCCAAGGAACAGCTAGAGCTGTCAGGGAACTTGAAGTCGGCCATAAAGGTGGCCGTCCTGGCCAGTCTAAACGGACTGTACACGACGGTCCTCGAAGTGGACTCGCGGCTTCGTTCCCTGGAGCTAGAAATGGCAAATTCGCGATCGGAAAAGGAAAAAATTTTAGAAATGAAATTAGATCAGAAAGACAAACAAATAGCAGAGTTAGTAAGTCGTCTAGATATGGGGGGAAAAATCGGGGATATTCTAAAACAAACGGAAGCCATACAAAAACTAATTAGCTTCGATGTACTCGGTAGATTCGACGAGTATCCTCCGGGCCGGGCGCTGTGCGGGAATGTCAAGAAATTGGAGGGCCTAGCGGAAGATCTGAAGGACGTAAGGAAAGTAGTGGAAGAGACGGGGGTGAAGGTGGACACGGTCGGGACGCGGGTTGGGGAGGTCGGAGGGAAGCTCGAAGAGTACGGAGCAACCGTAAGGGAAACCGGAAAGGCCTTAGAGACCCTCAAAGCCCCGGCGACAACGTACGCTGAGGCTGCGAGGGCTCCGAAATCAAAGGCCCGGCCCCCTCCGAGCCGTCCGAACCATGCGTTGATCGTGTCGTCCACCACCCCCAAGGATACGAGCGAGGAAGTTATAGGGAAAGTGAGAGAGGCCCTCGATGCGCGTAGGACGGGAATACAGATTGAAAGGATAAGGAAAGTAAGGGATGGTAAGATCGTGATCAGTTGCGGCGACCGGCCGGGTCTTGAGAAGACTGAAAGTCGACTCAGGTCCCAGGCTGGCCTCACCCTCGAGCCCGCGGCAAACCGGGACCCTAGAGTGGTGATAAGGAACGTGTTTGCCTATAACTCCGAGACTGATATCATTGAGTCTCTCAAGATTCAGAATCGGAGGCTGTGGGCAGACATGGATCCGAGTCACTTTAGGGTCAAGGAGGTTTACCGGAAGAGGGCGCGGAACCCCCACCAGGCCCATGTTGTGTTGCAGGTTTCGCCCCAAGTTTGGCGTAAGCTGACAGGGGCGGAGACTGTGTACATCGACATCCAGGGCCTGACTGCTGAGGATCAGTCGCCGCTGGTGCAGTGTACCCGTTGCTTGGGGTACGGCCACGGACGCAGACACTGTAAAGAGACGGTGGACCTTTGCAGCCACTGTGGGGGGGAGCACGACCGAACGAAGTGCCCCGCCCGAGTGGATGGGAGGCCCCCCGTCTGCAGGAACTGCGACCGGGCTGGGCTCCAGGAAACGGACCACAATGCGTTCAGCGGAGACTGTCCAATTCGGCGGAAGTGGGATGGTATCGCGCGTTCCTCGGTAAGCTATTGCTAAGGGCACCGCAGCTGGTATGGAATGTGAGGGAAGCTTTGTGGTCTACCAAGCCAACCTCCAGCGTGCCCGTCTGGCGACTCAGGAATTGGTCATGTCTGCTCACAGGGGGAGAGTCGGGGTCGCCCTGATCCAAGAACCTTACGTCGGCGCAGAGAGGAGGGTCGGTAACTTCCGTGACGTCAGGGTCGTGCAGAGGGAGGACGCTAGGACCAAACCCGTCAAGGCCGCGGTCATGGTCTTCCATGACGACCTGGAGGTTCATGTGAACCCTCAGATAGTCACAGAGAATATCGTGGCTGCGGTTCTCAAGACGGGAGATTGGACCGTGGCGGTCGTCTCTGTATACCTCGAGGGCACGGAGGATATCGAACCATACCTGGTCCAGCTACGAGAGTTCATGGGGAAGGTCGGCACCAACAGGATCCTTGTGGGTGGCGATTGGAATGCATGGAGTCCGTGGTGGGGTAGCGTCGAGGAGGACACAAGGGGCGAGACCCTCAGGGGGTTCTTTGATGACCTGGAGCTGCACGTATTGAACAGAGGAGACGTCCCCACCTTCGATACGATCCGTGGGGGCAGGAGGTACACGAGTCATGTCGATGTTACCGTCTGTACCCACGGGTTGTTGAGAAGCGTCCGTGAGTGGAAAGTGGACGACTCCGTGACCAGCTCGGATCACAGAGCAATACGGGTGGTTCTGGGTCTCAGGGTTCCGCCTGGGGGCAACGCTCGGTGGACTACTCGACGTTTCAACACCCGGAAGGCTGAATGGGGTCGTTTCGCCGAGGAAATGCGTAGAGGGTTGGCAGAAAGGGGCCTCACCCCGGAGGCCATTGAAAGGGTTACCGACCGAAACCAACTAGAAACGGCGGTAACCCAGTACATAGAGTGCGTGGAGGAGGCGTGCACTAAAGCCATACCCCCCCCAAAACCCCCCAAACGTAAAAAACGCTTTCCTTGGTGGAACGATGAGCTTGAAAGGCTGCGTCGTGATGTTAACACGAAACGCCGCAGGATCCGATGTGCGGCGCCGCGTCGCAGAGAATGTGTGGTTGACGAATACCTGATAGCCAAGGCGGAGTATGAACGGAGGGTTGTCAACGCTCAAACGGAGGGATGGAAGGCTTTTACCTCGGTGCAAGAGCGGGAGTCTATGTGG